TCCGCAAGCACAGAAGGAAGGCTGGTGAGCCAAGCTCGGTTGTGGAGGAGATTGGCAACGAAGACATCATCGCGGACGCGAGACAGAAGATCGGAGTTGTTGAAGAACCGGGTCCAAAAGGTGACCTGGTAATTGGACGGCATACTTGGAGAGAATACATCCGCGGGCTTCACGAAGGTTGGCTTGGGCCGCTTGATCCTCCGAGTCCCCCAGCGGCACCTGTAGAAGAGCCGTTGATACCTGTGGAAGAGCCATTGATTCCTGTTGAAGGCTCAGAGTCACCTGCAGATGGCACGTCTGCTGCAGAGAACACTGAGAAGAAGGAGGAAGAGGAGAAAAAGGATGACAAACCCGCCAAGCCTAGTGGACCGACACCAGCATATATCTCTCCGGCCGAATATTCATCGCGGAGTCTCCCACCCACCCTTCCGCACTCCTTGGAGAACTCCGTCCCCATCCCCTTCCCACATTTGCTGGGTTTCCTGAATACGCCTATCAGACTCTACCGTTACCTTAACCGACGCCATCTAGCCGATGAGATTGGACGGGAAGTCGCGGGGCTTGTCCTCGCCTCGTCAAGCAGGCCATATCTTGACAGCTCCTTCAGCTCCGACTCCGAAATGAGCAGTGCAAGTGTCGACGCCAGTGCTTCACCTTGGTCTTCATCCGATGACTCGATGCCTTCCTCTTCCGCCAATTACGAACAGCAAACCGTCCTCGAAAAAGAAGAGTCCGAATGGCACAAATCAGTGCATAAGCGGGACGAGGAAAACCCTGACAAGGAACGCGAATGGTTAGATGATATCGTCATGGACCCACGCATTGCGTCTCGGATGCAGCGCTCCCTTCTCTCCGCTGATGAAGAGGCACGCTCACAACGCATTACCGAGGGCAAGGAATACATTCTAGGACAAGAGAGGCCCGCCTCCGTCCCCTTCTGGCAACGAATGTGGATCAAGTATGGCTACGGGGAGGATGAGGAAACCATCAAGATGAAGCCTATCATTGGTAATCTTGATGGAGCGGATGGCGAATGAAGACGGGTCTAGTCATTGGAGGATGAGCCTCTCAACTTCTTGATGTACCATACTCTTTCACTTAGACTGTATATTAGTGCGACCTTGAAGGTCATATATATTGTAAGTTATCCTGACTGAGGTAGATGACCATGTCGCTGACATCTAGAGGAGGATGACAACATAGTATATAACCAGCCCGGTGCAGGTAGCCCTATTTCAACAGCTAAGGTAGCGTCCTGTTCCCTCAGCGGACAGCGCCCGGATAACCCTTGATACTAGTGAGTTAGAAGGTCAACGATCAATGGTGCATAACATACAAGATTATTGATCTTTTCCGGACAAAAGACGAAGGAAAACCTCATCAGAGGAACTAGCGAAGTAAATACCAAGTCGGTCGTATCTCATTTTTATATTCAAGCCTCAGGAAAAGATAAGGGAAGTATAGTATCCTACTTATACATCAATCACATTGTATCTCTTCCGCTACTCTGGACTAGATTCCTTGTCCCCTTGAGCCCTCAACTACAGGCGCATCAATTTCCAACGCGACGAGACCGGGTCAGATACCAAGGCAACGGATTGACGAACCCTTTGCCCCAGAGATCCACCGCCGTGATATATGGGTGATCGGGAGCCGATGGATGATTCCTCTTGTCACTCGTGCAGTGGCTCAGCTGAGCTGGAAAACTGTCGATTCAGGCCATTTGCTGGCGGCCTTCTCGGTGTATGCGGTCTTCGCAGCCTGATCACTTCCCCACTCGTACAGAATCTCGAGACCCGCCAGCGCAGTCTCGATGGAGGCATTATTCAAGTCAAGCGTGGTGACCAGATCCTTTTCGCACTGTGCCTTGGAGTCGGGCTGCAGAATGTGGCGGCATTTGAGGCCGGCTTGTGTGTGTAAAGGACTCTCCTTATGGGTGGACAAGAAGGAGTCGTTCCACTCTCCAAGGTTCTGCGATTTGGGCAGCAGCTTTTCGAATTCAGCATTGACAACCTCAGCGACCTCAGGGGCAAGGGGCTCAGAAAGATTGTCAAGGGCTTTGCGGAAGCGCAAAAGTTGAATATGGAGAGTTGGGTTGCTTGCGTCGATTTGGTGGGCGGCGGCAAGACATTTGAGTGCAAGCGCGTATTTGTCTATCGAACGTGTTAGCCAATTTCCAAAGGTATTCCAAGAATTGTACTCACTCTGTCTGAGGTACACCTCAAATCCAAGACACTGCGCCTCGATATTCTTTGGGCTATGCTCTAACAGGGGCGTCAAGAACTTGGTCGCATCCTTGAGCGGTTCTTGCGTTTGGACAAGCTTGGTGCCGAGAGGGTCAGGGTCCTCTTTCTTTGTCTCCCCATCGGAGCCCTTCGCGGTAGCGGCGGCAGCTTTCCTTGCCTCTCGCTTTTCGGCCTCGATCTTCTCCAGGCGCTGCTGTTCCTTCTTGGCCTTCTTGAGAGCCTTCTTCCTCTCGGCGTCGTCTTGGTCGCCTGAGCCATTCAGTCCGCTAGGCAGCGGGCCGTGAGCCAGATCCGGTTCGTCATGGAGTAGAAGATATGCTTTGATGGCAGAGAGAGCCATTCTGGTGTAGAAGGGATGTTCGCGCAAACGATCCTCCCACCGTACCATGTCAACGTACGCCCTGATCATGCCCTTGCGAAGAGAAAAGCTATGGAAGTCAAACTGATCTTCCTGCCAAACATCAAAGATGTTGTTCACCCCATGGAAGCGCTTCAGAGCGAGACCAAGTTTCTTCTGTCGTAGATATGACTCGCCATCTTCGGTAAGATACCAAACACACTGCATCTCGTGAAGATCGCCCAATGCCCCTCCCACGGTCTCATTCCTGGTGAATTTGCTCATATTGTCCAGAGCCTTTTCGTTGTCGTTGTTCCGCAGTTGATACTTGGCCGCTTTCGAGTTGATATAGCGGTCCTTCTCATCCAGGAGTCGGGCCTTCTCCATCTCCTCGGCAGCCTTTTGAGGGTTGCCATAGTGCTTCCATATCCTGGCCTTGGTCATCTGGTACTCAACAGCCTTGGGAGCTAGTTCGATGGCCTTGTCGACGCTCTCCATGGCCTTCGATAAATTGCGGCTCAGGTGGTAGTTGTAGTGCTGAGCAAGGAAGTAGTAAGTGGAAGCGAGGAACTCAGTGTTATCCTTGGCCGCCTCTCCTTCCGCGGAGCCGTTTGATTGTACCGTCGCATTACCAGACACATAGCTCTCCACAAGCTCCTGCACCGTGTCGCGTTTGCTAGTGTTGGTGTACAGAGATTTGATGTTCGCAAAGAGTGATGGCACGCCCTTCTTGAGCATGCGCTGCAGATATGCATCCGCCGCTTGCTTGAACTCTTCGCCTTCTAGGAAGTCCAGCGGAATTCTGCGAGGAGCGTCTCCTCGAGGGTTCTTGTCCGCCCAAGCGTCATATACAGCCTTTAGCGCCGCATGATCGTTTTCCGAGATCCCCTTCGCCCTTATTAGACCGTCATAGTAAATGGAGTTCTCCGAGTTCCGCTCAAGAAGGGCAGTGTAGGCTGCCTCGGCTTCTGCCTTTCGGTCCAACCGCAAAAGGTAGTCTGCCTTCATTTCCATGACCGCAAGCACATCCGTGATTCTGTATCCAATAGTCTCTAGATGTTCCAAGGCTTGTTCGACCTTGCCTGCTTCCGCCATGATCATGTTCTTGTACAAAACAGCCTCTGAGTGCTCCATGTCGGATACCGGCGGCGGTTGCTTGAGCGTCTCCTCATATGTGGTCAAAACCTTCTCCGCCTCCTCGAGGTCACCTGCAAGATGGTGTGCAATCGCCAAAGCCGTCCAGTTCTGGCGGAAGCCCGGACGGGCTTGCAGCATCGCACTCCTGCTTTGGACGTAACCCTGGTAATCCCGCATTTGCATCTGGAGCAAAGCGAGGTCGCGCTGGATGGGCTGGGACTCCGGCTCAATCCTCAACGCGAATCTGTATGCCTTGATTGCCTCCTCATAGTTCTTCTCTGCTCGGTACAGCAGCCCATAGACGTGCCAGCAAATGTGCGACTTCATGTCATTCCGGAGGGCTTCCTTGGCCAACGCAAATGCCTCCTCTTGTTGTCCGAGATTGCTCATGATCAAAGCCTTCATCGCCTGCGTATCGCCATGGTTAGGGGTTTTTCGAAGGATCTGGTCGGCAAGCTTAATGCCTATACAAGACGCAATGGAGTCAGTCTTCTCGAGTCCACCTTTCCGGAAACTTTGAGCGACTCAGTTCGGTCCCCAACCCACCCTTTTTATATTGCTTGTTCTCATAATGGCGAACCACCTGTCGGAAGGAGGACGCATCCTTGGAGCTCAAAGGCTGCGGCATGGTGGCTGTTGTGCAAGGTTGGCGGAGTTGAAGGTGCCAAGTTACTTGTGCGTAGATAAAGCTGGTGGATGTTGTGCGGGGAGTGGGCTCTTCGCTCCGGGAACAATGACGAGCACTTATATTATTCTTCATACTCTCTGAACAATATCAACGTCGACTCTACGGCAATTATTTACTTAATTGAAGACAATGGATAATTTTTCTCTCCCCTGCTTAATTTTTTCGTAACACAATGGATGGCTTGCCTGTATAATCCTCCCTCTCCAGCTGCATTCGCCCTCAACCAACGAGGGCTGAACCACCTTCAGTCAGCCTAAGTATCCGACACGACGCTTGCGTGCATATGTGGCCCAGGGAACCCTCTACAAATTAAAGTCCGTTGTTGTGCTACTGTACCTTTGTTCTCTTTGGGTATATGTCTGGCTTTATGGTAATTCGACAAGCTGAGATTATCATAACGGCGCTGAGATAGCTTGTGTCTGGATACCAAACGCCTGAGATATGCAAGTATAATATACAGAAATATACATCAAGAGATATAACATCTCGAATCATATCAACTTCTCCTGTGCCAGCAGAATAATAAATGGGGAAGTATCCTAAATGTTTTCGGCGTAAGGATACTGGTCTCCGTTGGCGCCGTTCACAATCCTCACCGTTGCTTCCTCTGGCGCCAATTGTTCAAAGCCTCCTCCCAGGTGGAAGCCGAGTCAGTGCACCTCTCAGTAACCACGCTCCAGGTTCGCGCTCGTATGATCTCTTCCACTGTTCGCTGGTTCCGAACCAAGTTCGCAAGCGACTCTGTTCTCAGCTCTTTCGGGAAATACCGAGCAGAGTAAGGGTCCAATCTTTCATCGACAATCTTCTCCCGTTCCTTAGCTGACTCTGCCTGTCGAAGAATAAGATCCGGATCGTCCGGATCGGGACTGGTCGCCACCCCAGCGCAGAAATTCAGTACATCGGATCGCGTTTGCCATGACTGGAAGAGGACATTGTCTTTGAAGTTCTGGCATCCTTCGGGATCTATCGGCCTTCCAACTCTGGAGTCTGTTTGACGGATTGCAGTTGACGAGGGATCAAACCCTTCCCGGGCCGGGGTGATCAGGGCATTGAGATTCTGCGAAATGGAGTCATCAATGGTCACCCTAGAAAGCCGCAGAAAATCTGCTCGATCCAGAGAAGGCAGAGTCAGTGATGTTAGTCTCATGCAGTTGTGAGCGATCTTAAGCTGAGCATCAAGTACCTAAAAGCACCCTCTCATTGAAGCAGAACTGAGGACTTAATGGTGGGGTTGATGTCGACGATGCCCCAGACATTTCACCAGCCCTAGACGGTGCAGGTCCACCGTCTTTTCCAGAAGTAGAAAGAGCCCAAAACCACTCCAGTTTGTAGAGTTATGTAGACCAGTGCTATGAAGTAAGCTGTAGGGTGACTTGTACAGGAGCACAAGAGCGGGATATGGAAACAACGATCAGCCTCTTGATTCAAGAAGCTCTCAAGCACGCAAACACGTAAGGATCTTCCAAGTCTGATAATGTGGCAGGCTGGACACTCTTCAATCCGAAAGACGTAAGGATGAGTCTGGATATTGAAGGTGGCTGCGGCAATCCGGCGACTGATGCTCTTATCGATAGTGGCTAATCCCAATTGAGTAGGGAGCTATGGATCACGGGACTTCGTGACCATCAACGCGTCTCTCTTTAACACCTCGTGTTCACATAAGCTGACGTTTCTCATTGTAATTATCATTAGACCTCAAGTATCATTATCATACATCTCAATTAATAATTCTGCATATACATCAACGGGTGTGGTTCTTAAGAGATCCTTCAGCTGCCATGCCTGAATTAGCCGAAGTCTCGCGCATTGTTCACTTTATCGATCAACATCTTGTTGGGAAGACTCTCACAAAGGTTTCTGCTCAGAACGATGATATTGTCTACGGAAAAGTTGGGACCAGCGCGTCGGAATTTCAAAAGGCCATGGAAGGGAAAAAGGTCGTCAGCGCAGGTCAACAAGGAAAGTATTTCTGGCTCATCATGAACGAACCTCCTCATGCAGTGATGCATTTCGGAATGTCAGGCTGGCTCAAGATCCGAGACGCCGACACATACTACTACCGCGTCGAGAAACCCGAAGATAAAGAATGGCCACCGAAATATTGGAAATTCTTGCTGGAAACAGACGGGGATCCAAAAACCGAGGCAGCTTTCGTTGACGTCCGCAGATTAAGCCGAATCCGACTTGTGGATTGTCCTGCAGATGAGATCCGCAAACATAGCCCACTCAAAGAGAATGGCCCGGACCCGGTGGCAGATAAAGACACCGTCACAGAAGAGTGGCTGGCAGACAAGCTCAGGAGCAGAAAGGTTCCCATTAAGGCCCTTCTCCTGGATCAGGCTAACATCAGTGGGATTGGTAATTGGATGGGGTAAGGCTACACAGCTACGTATGCTGCCGCGTTGATGAGCCTAAAAAGCTGACAGCCGTTTCAGTGATGAGATCTTGTACCATGCCAAGATACACCCGGAGCAATACAGCAATACTCTCAATGATGAGCAGATCAAACAGCTTCACTCTTCCATCCATTATGTTTGTACCACGTCGGTAGATGTGCTCGGCGATTCCGAGAAATTCCCTGAGCACTGGCTGTTCAAGCATCGTTGGGGCAAGGGAAAGAAGAACAAGCCAACGGTCTTGCCAAATGGTGAAAAGATCGCTTTTCTGACTGTCGGAGGTAGAACGAGCGCAGTTGTGCCAAGTGTTCAGAAGAAAACGGGCCCCGTTGCTAAAGATATTGGCGACGAGGATGCCAATAGCCCTAAGAGCGAGACTAAACGAAAGCGAGAAACAGCTGTTAAAAAGGAGAAGGATGTGAATGACGATGTGAAGGAGCCCAAACCGAAGAAACATGGATCGCGGCCCAGTAAATCTGAGGATGCAGTGGAAATCAAGGAGGAATCGAAGCCGGAGGGGAGACGACGATCCACGCGTCTCAGAAAATGAGGACCTTTCTTCTGCTCGCAGATCTATGAACTTATAGCGACGCAATTCCATCCGTCTTCATATACATATCTTGAACATATTAAACTTCAAATATGGCCACGAGAAACACAAAACAAAGATATCCCTAGTATCTCATCACAACTTCACTCCATTGAGGCATTCTTGGAAGATACCCAAATTCCCTGTTCTATGACCTGGATCCACAATGCCGAATACAATTGCTTCAAACCATCCTTTGAATTCCTTCTCCTTCATGACTTCCAGCCAGCAATCCGCGACATCATGCTTGGGATTCTGGAACGCGCCACAACCCAAGGCGCCCAAAACGAGCCTCCGATGGCCATGGGTTGCAGCAATGCGCAGCACAAGGCGCATCTTGCCCTTCATCAGATCTCGATCCTCCGCATTTGCGTACCGATATTTCTTGGAATCGTCGATTGTGACAGCCGGTCCCACCTCTGCCGCTATGCTGACAACACCGACTACTGGGAGCCACTCTGGCTTTCCCAAGTCCATCCAGCGATGTCGTTTTCGCGTGTCTTCCCGAAAAACAACAACGGTCGGTGAATAGATAGCACCAAGGCTGCCGATGGGATAGAATTCCTTTTTGAGAGTGAAGCTGAGGCTACTGCGGAAACAGAGCTCCTCTTCTTGAGCCATTGCTCCATGCTCCCAACCGCCTCCAATATGCTCCGCATTTGCCATGTTTAAGACGCAGACAGGTCTGGTATCCTCATGACCTAGGAACTGGGCGGCATTGGCAAGGTTGATCGCGGTGTTGAAGGTGTCTCCTTCCACAACTTTGACGAATGTGCGGACCTTGGGGCAGTTCTTCTGATCCAACTGGGGCAATTCATCGAGCAAATATTTATGCCCATCGGGTGGAGCCCCAGGCTTCACCGTCAATATCGTCGGGATAATGGTCTTTGTTTCTTGGGCGGCTCTTATCAGGCGCACTCTCCTTGCGTTGCTGTCTTCCTCGCCTTCATCGGTTTTCTGGATCTTTGCCGGCCGTTGGTCTTCTTGCCGGTCATTCGAGTCATTTGTGCCGGAATCTTGAGGCTCATCCTCTTCGACTTCTGTGCGCCGTTTCTGTTGTACTTTGGCAGTTACTGGCTGCTTGGAGCCATCGGCTGGTGCACGAGCCATGATTGGGAGGAAATCTGAAATATACAGAGGGGAGTAATCTGAAAGTTAAAAAACTAGATATTATAGATTCTGAGTCTTCTCCTAAGTTATATATGTCTATCACTCTCGCTGTCCTTAACCGAATCCCAGGCCAGCAGCCTGGCAGAGTAGAGCAAAGCAAACCTGCGTCGTCGTGTTGGAGCCTGAGGCTACTAGACAAAGAAACGGCAGAACCGCCTGAACGGGGAGCATAAAGAGGCGGAATGTTCTTTGAGCACGCGGGCGGTGAGCTTATCAACGCCGATTGCGGGGTGGAGCAGCAAATCAAGTCGGTCGCCACTTTCGACAGCCATGACAAAGCGCAAGATTGGCTTTACTAAACAGCCTACTTTTTTATCGGACACTTGGGTTTGTCGGCTTTCTTTTCTTTATCTTCTGAAAGAGCGCTCCTTTGGCCAAGTTGTTCACCAGACCCTCACTACTGTTTTCTTTGTCGCTATTTTGGTCGCATTGCAGCTACAACAGAGAAGACGGGCTCGAAGAACGCTGCGAGATCCATACTTCTTGGGTGGCGCTCTTCGTCCTTATCGCATAGCGGGGAGCTCGACCAAAAACCCCTGCCACGATGAGTGCAATCCTTTCTGCAGACGATTTGAACGATTTCATCTCTCCGGGGGTTGCTTGCATCAAACCCGTTGAGAGTCTACCACAGAAAGAATCTCAATCGGAGGTATGTTTGCTTCTTACCAATCATCGGTCGTTATCAGCCAATAGGCTAACGCTCATTTCCAATTTTATAGAATCCCTATGAAGTGACAACGGAAGACAAAGTTCAACGGGAAAACCTTCCCCCGGCTCAGATTTCATTGACTGACTGTCTTGCATGCTCCGGATGTGTCACATCGGCGGAAGCAGTGTTGATATCCTTGCAATCACATACGGAGGTTCTCAATACTCTTGATTCGTACCCTGAATTGCCGTTGAACTTTGGAAGCGATCAAGGAGCTATCCAAAATGTGGAATCAGCAGACGGCGATTGTCGCATCTTTGTTGCTAGCATCAGTCCTCAAGTCAGGGCGAGCTTGGCAGCAACGTACGGAATTACCGAGCGGGAGGCAAAATATATGATTGATCAATTCCTCATGGGCCCTCATGGTCTCAGGGCTGGTGGAAAACACCGCAATGGGTTTACCTGGGTTGTGGACACGAACATCATGCGTGAAGCAGTGTTGGCTCTGACAGCGGACGAGGTCACCAGTTCTTTATCATCAGCCGAACCGGGCAGCCTTCCCAAGCGACCAATCCTTTCATCCGCTTGCCCCGGCTGGATATGTTACGCTGAGAAAACACACCCTTTCATCCTTCCTCATTTATCTCGCCTCAAGTCTCCTCAGGCTTTGACTGGCACGTTTCTGAAGTCAGTGTTAAGTAAAGCGCTTGGGGTCTCGCCTTCTCAGATATGGCATTTAGCTATCATGCCATGCTTCGACAAGAAGCTCGAGGCAAGCCGGGAAGAGCTCACTGACATCGCATGGGCTTCAGCCTCCACTGAGTCACAACCACCCGTCCGCGACGTTGACTGTGTCATAACCACCCGTGAGCTACTAACCTTAGCTTCTGCTAGGGGAATCCCTTTGTCCAATTTGCCGCTCAAAGCGTTGCCCACGTCGTGTTCCACGCCGTTTCCAGACCGAGCCTTGGACTCATTTTTGTTCTCGAAGAGCTCGTCAGGTCAAACAGTCGAATCGGGGACATCTGGAGGCTATCTTCATCACGTCCTCAAAATCTTCCAGGCCAGGAACCCCGGCAGCAAGATTGTCATACAGCGTGGGCGCAATGCTGATGTTGTGGAATATGTGCTCATGTCGTCTGGGGACGAGCCTGTTTTGAAGGCGGCTCGGTATTACGGCTTCAGGAATATACAAAACCTTGTCAGAAAGCTTAAACCTGCACGCGTGTCCAGGCTTCCAGGTGCCAAGCCGCAAGCAACTTCGTCAAATGCAAGTCGACGACAACACATGTCAAGGAACGCAGCTCCCGCTGGAACAGGCACTGACTATGCATATGTTGAAGTCATGGCTTGTCCTGGTGGCTGTACCAATGGAGGTGGACAAATGAGAATTGAAGATGCCAGGGAAGCTGTTCCGAATGGATTAAAAGAGTCATTGACTGAAGTTCCTGTGGCTGCGTCGAAACCCACGCCGCATGAGCAGCGCGCCTGGCTTGCCCGGGTAGATGAGGCGTATTACTCTGCGGACTCGGATAGCGAGGAATCTGGCACAACGGAGCCGGTTTCTGTCCTGTCAAGGGATATCGAGATTCATGAGTTCTTGAAGTATTGGTCGGAGAAGATCGATATACCCCTTTCCCGGCTGGCGTACACGTCCTATCGCGAAGTGGAGAGTGACGTGGGTAAGACGCAGAATGCGCCCAACGAAACTGCTCGTGTTGTTGAGTTGGCAGGAAAGATCGGAGGTGGTTGGTGAGACAGCACTCGCTGTCTGGAAAACATTGCATATATCATTCATACCCATCAATTTGCTGTTGAGGAGAGCGCTTTTTTGCATCACTGGTTTCATGGTACGCATTTGGAGAGATACCCTTTCATTATAGATTTCTCATTGAGGTTTGTTGGGCATTTGGGAGGATTTATCAGTGATGAGACAGGTATAAGAAGTATAGATCAGGGTAAAGCATGCCTCCATAGCTTTCTACTACGGTCATGGATCAAACGCTTGAATTTAATACTTCGAGTGCGGACAAGAAAGCACGGAGTTACCTCTCTTAAACACATGGTAGATTGGTACCTGAGGCATAAAGCGCTAGTTCCGACCCGGCTAGCGTATTCCCCCCGAACCTTCGAGCGGGATGACAAAGCAGCCTAGAGCATTTGGCAGAAAAAGTGCTCTATCCCATGCTTGAACTCTCTCCCATTCGACTTCAATCACTCTACATCTCGAGTTACACTCAAAGCGATACCTTCGCCAGCGATATATTATTTTGCCTAGGAGACGCCCTCGATCAAATCAAATCACCTCCGATAACCATGTCCCGCGAAGCTTATCAGGTCCCCTCTCTCGGCGCCCAAAATGCCTTTGGCACCGAGGGTATGACCGCTGGCTCGATGGATGGGCCTATCGTCGCCTACCTGTGCGGCGAATGCAATGCGCGCGTCTCCCTGAAGAGAGGCGACCAGATCCGCTGCAAGGATTGCGGCCACCGTGTGCTTTACAAGGAGAGAACGAAGAGGTGAGTCTATACTTCCGCGAAGTCGGGATTCGTCCGTGTGCGGATGCTTCATTCTACTCTTGCTATGGGACGGTCGCTAACTATCTTTTTTTTCGGAATAGAATGGTCCAATTCGAAGCTCGTTAAAGCACTCTGCACGACAACGTGTTTCGAGCAAAGATTTGCAGGGCCTCGGCCCGTCTCGTCCTTTTTACGACAGTGATGTGCATTCTGTGGCGCTTTGGAGTTGGTTATCTTAAAGTTGAGAACTGCGGGCATGCCTGACGTTCTGCAAAGGCAGCGCTGAGGACGACAGCCAGCAGATATGTTTGGCAACGTTCCGTTCCTATACTATGATCACAAATATTTTCAGTCCGACCTGATTCAATGCTAAAATATACCCCATTCGGACGGTGTTGAATTTCCGTCATATGAAATATGTTCTCTGAGTAACCCACAAGTATTCCAAAATTTCGTAACCCAGTATATACCTGATCTATCCAACTTAAGCAGTCCAGCAAAGAACTAAAGAAATAACCCCGAAATGGAAGGCATGAGGCATCACACGTAACCCTGCGTCATCAATGGACAGTTTTGTTAAAGTCTGTTTGTGACTTCGATGAACTGTTCCAAACATTTAAGAGCCGAACCGCTTTCGACGGCCCATCTTGCTCGTCGAACACCCTCCTTCCAGCGACCGCCGCCCGGACCGCGTTCGGTGATCACCTTGCCATCATCACCAGGGCCCATGTTACTAGTGTCTGCATCACAAAGACCCGAAATCACCAGGAGGGCGGCAACATTCATCAAGACGAATGTAAGGATGGGATCATCCGGAGGCAGCTCGTTTCGCAGAATACTCATGATCTTGGCTGCGTTTTCTTTCGGCATCTTTCTACCGTAGACTGCACTCAGAGGATGTGTAGGCAGACCGAAATCAGACGGGTGAAGCTGGAAGGTTTCAATCTTGACCAGAGTCCGGGAAACATCTTCATACTCGTCGCAGGAACACTCCTCATCGGGGCCTTCGTAGTCGGGATTGGGGTATTCCGTAAGTTTCCAGCAGTTTGTTGGACCCGCGCAGCTGATCTCGTCCATGTCCTCCGCACCGCAGACAACAAGGGCCTTCTTTGCCCCACCGGTGCGCAAGGCTTCTGCGAACACGGGCCCCAGGCTCTGATAAGCCACACCAACCACTCTCGCTTCCAGCGCCCAGTCGACTGGGTTTGCCAATGGGCCCATTAGATTGAAGATAGTTCGCAGGCCCAAGCCCCGACGCACTGGATTAGCGTACATCATACCGGGGTGGAAATTGGGGGCGAACAGGAACGCGTAGCTCGTCGCTTCATAGACTTGGGCAAGATTCTCGGCAGTAACTGCGGAGATCTTCGGGGGAACTGGAGCGATCGCGTTCAGGACGTCAGCAGAGCCAGAGAATGAAGTTTGCGCGCGGTTGCCGTGCTTGGCCATCATAAGGAGCGGCGAGGCGATGATAGAGGCAGTCGTCGAAATGTTGAATGTAGAATGTGAATCACCACCTGTCCCAACAATATCACACTGGAACAAACAGAGTTGTCGAATTAGCAAGGCAGTCAAGGTATCGACTCCGAGTTCAATTCACTCACCAGGCCGCCCCCATAGTTTCCTTCCTTCTTCCCACGAGCATTGATGACCTTTTGCAAAGAGCTCTTCTCGATCTGGCGAGCTGCCTCTCTCATGCGAAGCGAACATAATGCAATGACCTGCGCATCTCGATCTTTTCCAGTAGAATGCAAAAGAGTCAGAAGAGCGGCCGTCTGAATTGCCGATAGTCGATCTTCAAAAATCAATGCGAATGCTGAAGCGATTTCGGAGGCTTCAATCGGGACCTGGGTAGTGGGGTAGGCAAGTTTCTGAAGGAGGGGTGAGATCGAAACCTGATTAGGCTTCTGGTCAAATTCATGCGCTGACAACATGGCGACCTGAGTGGAGCTCTACTCTTCAAGACACTTGAAGATGACTCCAATTGTAAGCAGTGACAAAAAGAAAGAGTGAAGTCGCAAACAGCCCCTCAGCTTGTATCACTGGAGGAGTCATCAGCACCTGGCAGAATTCCACCGCCCATCCAATGGTCTATACCAAATTGGGAGCATCGGCCATTGTTTCTTCCAGATTTTGGTTTCTTTAGAGAAGTTCTGTATGTGCTTTCAAGAATTCATCGGCGAAGGTTATCGGCGTCGACCATTGCGCAAGACTATTTCGCCCTGTATTTTTTGAGGGCTTTTACAGATATCATCACGCCCTCGGAAAACCAAATCTTACACTTCAATTCACGATGCCGCCCCGGTTACGACTCTCCAATGGACGCATTTCTCAGTCGTTTCGACGCCAGAGAGTCCTATGTCAATTCGAAATACCAGTCGCTGCTCGTTATGCAAGCACTGCGGCCACAGCGACGACTCCAGCCGCATCTATTGAGCAGATGACTACTTCCATTCCTCCAATCGCTAGATATCCCCCTTCTCAGCCTCCCTCTCATCGCAACCCCGAGTACCGACGATCACAGCTTCTCCGCCAGTACACATCGCTTATCCGCACTACACCTCTCATGGTTCTTTTCCAGCATGATAACCTTCAGTCGGTGGAATGGACCGCAATCCGGCGAGAACTGAGCAAGGCCATGCAGAAGGTTGATGAAAAGATTGCTGCTGAGGGACGGCAAGCTGCACCGCTGGCGCCTCACATCAAGGTGCAAATCGTGCAAACCAGCATCTTCGAGGTCGCTCTCCGCATTGTTGAATACTTCCGCCCAGATGGGGCCACAGTGGCCAGTGCCAAACCTCCCAGAGCCATCGACCCCATTACACAGACCTCCGCCGAGATTCCTCTAACGGGATCCAAGGATGACCCGGCTTTGACCCATGACCTCTCCCGTGCGGCCCATGACGCTGTGATGCACATGAAAGGCAAGCATGAACTTTCACCGCTTCTTGTTGGTCCCGTCGCAGTCCTTTCTATCCCACAGGTGTCTCCTGAGCATTTGAAAGCCGCCATGTCGATTCTTGCCCCCAAGGCAACCGGCTTCCCTGCTCCCACTCGCAGAGCGAACCCGGCGTGGCATGAACTCCCTGTCCAAAATGGATTGCAGAAATTGAGCTTGCTGGCTGCTCGAGTGGATGGTCAGGTTTTCGATGTCGACCAGACGAAATGGGTCGGCAGCATCGAAGGTGGTATGGATGGCTTGCGGTCTCAACTCATCATGGCTCTGCAGAGCATGGGATCTAGCATTACGAATACCCTGGAAGGCGCTGGAAAAAGCCTCTATTTCACCCTCGAGAGCAGGAGGAGCGTTCTGGAAGATGAGCAGAAGGGTCCCGACGGTGACAAGAACGAATCTTAACGACATAGCAAATCTTGCCAGGTCATCCATGTATAATATTTCTTGTACTTATCTCAATTAGGCTTCCTCGGAAAACCGCTCGGTTACATTTCTCGAACTTGAATAGCATCCCTTTGATCAATCAGGATCCATTCCGTGAGATCAGTTATTTTCCCTCCCACTCCGCCGTCATACGGTGTAATTTATTTCCTTCCTACACATGAGTGCATGTATGAGACTAAGTTTTCGACATATCATAATAACCTATGTGCATTGGTGGGAAATAATCAACTGCATGATCAGGCTCTCAGGTCAACGAGGGCACGCGTGAAAGCACAAATCAAGCGTCGCCGTTAGAGTGTTCCTGCTCCTCTATCATCTGTCTCATCTTCAGCTTAGCGTTCATGCCGACAATGCAACGCACAAGGTCCCAGTCGCCTTCGTGGCCGACCCAGTCCGTGACAAGAACGCCGGTCGACCAGTCACCATCCTTATCGCTGTGTTTCCGGCAAAGATAGTCAACAGTTGCCGGGTTCAGCTTCGCTGCAATCTTCTCGGGCCACGTCCCGACCTTCCAGAAGTTGCTTGCACTGAGGAAATTAATATAAAATGGGTGTGCTTTGCTAGCTTCGGGATCCGGGAGGGCACCGAACGGGTAACAGTGCCCGCTGGAGCGATCACAGTGTTCCGTTACATATTTGATCTTGACGTCGATGTTCGTCGTCTCGAGAACCTCGTAGAAGTCCTGGATACAGAGTTGACCGCTGCTGCAGGTTGCGCTTGGAGTATTATCTGCCCAATCGCTCCCGTCGATGCCCCAGCCGCGGCCGTCGTGCTCATTCTTTAGCTCTTCTATGACGTTGAACCGGCGAAGCAGGACGACTTTCCCGCGCACCTCGCCCAGAGTAGGGATTTTGGGTTCTGTGTACCACCGGCTATCTGGACGAGCATAATGGTCGCGCAGAATCCGACTGAGTTGTTCGTCCGTATGATTCCCTGGGCCTTCTCGCTTTAGAGAGATGATGAGCGTCTCAGATGGGTTTTGGTCGAGGAACTCATTGACCTCGCGCATCAGATCGCGAAAGTACTTGTTGCCCGTCAAGGAGATGGGGAACACGCTGTGCACTAGGATAAGCTCGTCCTTGGACGGGTCTTCGGGAAACTGAGGCTGCACACGGATGTCGAAGAAGCGAACACCATTTCGGAGCTGTTCGCGGGGACTGACAGCTTGGCAGCGAACAGACGGCGCCGCAACATGGCACGTAGGAGAATTGTGTGTTCCTGGAATGGAAAGCGAGGAGAGCAATGTGCTATCTTTGAGCTCTCCCATCCATGCTTGCAGATTGGCCGAGGAGTAGATTGCAAGATGGGATTCAGGTGTCACGTAGACGCCAGTGAAGCGAAATCGAGGATTATCGCACAACGCCTTCATTCCGGCAGACTCGGTCGTAGGAACCGGCGTCTGAATTTGATGACGCTCTCCCTCGGCGTCAAAGATCCAGCGCAGGCGCTCTTTGTCCGAATCAATGAATGTACGAAGTTCTGTCTGAACTGTTTTGAAAGGTTCCACATGAATGTCAACCTCCTCGTGAGCAAATGGTTCATTGTCATCAGTAATCGCAGCGACGGTCTCATTGGTGCGAGTGACATTGCTTAGAATTCGAGTGAAATTCCTGGCCAAGAATTGCATGTCATCTCGAGGATCCTTATGGGGGTGAAAACGCTCAATAACCTTGAGGGTTATCGGCGTTGTGGTGAGGTTGCGAATCGTCAAATGTTCGGCCACCATTGTGTGCAGCAAGTCGGTGCTCAATTGAACGGTCTATCAAGTACAGCGGAAGCCAGTCTTGAAATGCAAAACATGAAACAGATGGATCGGAGAACGAGCAGGGAGTGAGAAAGAGAATACTGCCGCCTGCTCTTCTCAAACCAACCTCAGGGATGCTTGGCCATGACAGGGCTAGATTAGGTTGCACCAATGATGGTTCGATCTTCCGCAATGCGATCTCCCAGTCCCACGTCCATAATGCCGGTAGCTGGAACCCTAAGGTTCATTTCCAAGACACATCAATACCGTATACGGACAAGAAGTACCTTTACCCGCTCTAAACTGGAGAGTGAGCATTGAACAGATAGCAATTTCACTGCCATCCAACGTCAGATACTCAGAGACCCTCGTTCACAGCATAGGCGAAATGAGGGTGGTCGGTTGTTATCGCTCACTTGTCGTATTCAGCTCCACTGTGCTGAGATAATGGTGGGGTTTCACAAAATTGAAAACGGAGGGGAAGTTAAGCTAGCCGTGGAGATAAAAATCTCGACAATGAACATCATCGTCGCTATTTTTGAATACCCGATAGCTCTGCTTGATGATGATGAAAGTACTTGTATTCACTTGCATAAAATACCACTTGCCGAACATGTATGCCTTGCTCTAAACAAACGAGCACTCAGTGAAAGTTGGTTGTCGCTGGACTTGAGTTGAAGCAAGCTTGACTCTGCCTGATTGACTCGCAAATTCCAATCAAATTCAATTCAGCCACAATCTTTTGCTCATACAAAGAGGAAAGAATGAAGCCGAGCTATTTACCAAGGTACCATTTGCCTGTTGAAGCTCACAGTATTTGAGTCCGGATGAAGAGACGGACCGGACTACGGAGTATTTGCTTGATAATGCGGAGTAAAATCACGTGAGGTGACGCTCTGCTCGGTTACTATCGGCGATGGGAAGCAATAATGCGGAGAGACCCTGTGTAGTCCTCCTCCTACTAATAGGGACAATTCCATGATGCCTCGCGGTTTTCTTCTTTGGAAAACTACCCCCTTTGTTTATTCTCGTTCCTCAGTTGCTTGATTTTGACTATGAGCTTTTTGCGCTGCAACAGAGGTGTTCTTGGGGCTCTCAGGTCCTCTCGGCCTCACAGGGTCATCCCAACCACCCCATCGTCAAAGATCTTAATACCTCGACGGAGATTCCACGCTGCATTACCTCTGTGGGGCGTAAAATCTCAAATACTGAAGGATGTGGGCGAAGGTATACTGTTTCCTATGCAACCCTCATGTATGTCGTTCAATTGCTCACCCGGATTCTCTACGCAGGGATCACCGAAGTCCAGATAATTCAGTGGTATGTCGAGGAAGGCGCTCACATAGAAGAGTGGAAGCCACTGTGCCAGTATCAGTCCGATAAAGCAGTCGATGATGTGAGCGAACTCTCCTCTATCCCACTATTTACCTATCTGACAATTTACGAATCAGATAACTTCGAGATACGAAGGAGTAGTCAAGAAGCTCCACTTTCAGGCAGATGACACTGTTCCCACAGGAATGGTACGCATGTTCATGTACAAGTTGGAGACGAGAACTATCCGCGTCTAACATCATGCTCTTCCCAGGCACTTTGTGACATAGAAGTTGAAGATGGCAAATATCCGGATGATCACACGCCCACTGACCCCAAACCCGAGGAAATGCAGTCAGCTCCCGTTACCGCGGATACTCTTCCTGTACAGCCAACAGCATCGGCTCCGTTGCTCTCTTCACAGGTGAATGAGACGGCTGTTGAAACCCCAAGGTCAAAGTATGCCTCGCTCGCTACCCCAGCAGTCCGCGGGCTGCTGAAGACTTACAATGTTGATATTCTCGACGTCAAAGGAACGGGGAAGGATGGTCGTGTTCTTAAAGAAGACATCAATAAATTTGTTGCCATGCGCAACGCAGCAGCGGAAGCGCGTCCTGTGGCACCTGCCAGTCAGCAAACAGAAACCACGGTTAACCTGACACCGATCCAATCACAAATGTTCAAGACCATGACCCGCTCTCTCACTATCCCGCACTTCCTTTATGCGGATGAGCTCAAGATCAACGACATTACAGCTTTGAGGAAGAAGCTGGCATCTGACCCCAAAGATCCCAAAAAGGTCACCTTCCTCCCGTTTGTCATCAAGGCTGTGTCCCTTGCTTTGAACGAATACCCGCTTCTTAACGCTAAGGTGGACTTGAGTAATCCTGAGAAGCCCAAACTTATTATGCGGCCGAAGCATAACATCGGAGTCGCTCTGGATACTCCACAGGGGTTGATCGTCCCGAATATCAAAGATGTCGCAAACCGGACAATCATGGAAATAGCAGCAGAAATCAGGCGGCTAAGTGCACTGGGCAAAGAGGGTAAACTCACACCCGCTGACCTCAGTGGTGGCACGATCACTGTCTCAAACATTGGTAACATCGGCGGCACCTACGTTGGACCGGTGATTGTACCAACTGAGGTGGCTATTCTGGGGGTGGGAAAATCAAGAACAGTGCCAGTCTTTGATGATGCTGGTCAGGTCACCAAGGGTGAGCTAGTGAATTTCAGTTGGAGTGCAGACCATAGAGTTGTGGATGGGGCAACCATGGCAAGAATGGCCAGCAAAGTTCGCGAGTTTATCGAGTCGCCAGAGCTGATGCTCTTGAATTTGAAATAGAGCAAGAGCAGTTCTCCCATCACAGTGATACCAGGTTTTAAGATATAGTTCTTAGTTATAGAGTTCATCTGACAAAGCGATTCAAGGTCAACAGGAATTTTGCTTCTGGGTCTGTGAATGAGCCGTCAACACCAAGACCTACTATTGTGTTCGATGAAGAGTTGTTTTATCCCAAGACCGTTAGTAGTGAATTGTCATGTCCTTTTTGAATTTGGTGTTTGGACTTTCTTTGTTTGTTTGCTCAAGCCTGCGCGCTGGCGCAACAACCCCTCATAGCTCTCAGCCTCTCACTACTCACCAACCTCTAACCTCTGATTTTCTCCTTGGTATTCTCTTCCTTTTACTTGATACTCCTGCTTGTACTCCTCTTGCGCTACTGCTGCTACTTTGTGAGAAGGAGTGTAGCCCTCAGTCTGCCCCGTAGCGCCTGTTTCTGTCCTTGATAGTGTCACCGAACTGTGAAGATGGGGACAAGAGGACTTCTCTTTATCCGCTGCCGCGGCAGATACTTCGTCATCTGGAATCAGTTTGACAGCTATCCTGAGGGACTTGGAG